CACACACACACACACACACAACCCCTATGAAACTAAAGAAAATCTCTCCCAGTTTTTGATAAATTATACTTTAAAAGCAAATGCAGTCCTTCAATTTCACTAAGTTGTAATTATATTAAATTACCAGCTCAAAATAAATCTTATGGAATGTCAATGAGACATTTCTATCATTTTGAAAAGAAATAATAAGCATGTTTTATCCAAATAATTTCATATAAAAAGTCACACAGATATTCATATGCCGGGAACTAGAAAGGAGAAAGGATCATTATAAAGTTATTAGCTGTGGAAATCAAATTAATTCAGACCTTAGGAGCAAGCTTACAAGAAAGATGTTGAATATGTAATTTTATTTATTTATTTTAGTTGTGTGGCAGGTGCTGGAGATGGCTCAGCAGTTAGGAACACTTTTTGCTCTTACAGAGGACCTGAGCTTAGTTCCTGACAACCACCTGTAACTTCAGCTCCAGGGGATTCAACACTCTGTTTTGGTTTCTGTAGGCACAAGATCACATGTACACAGACGTGTTGTGGGAACTTATTTAGCCAGTAGTCTTTGAGGTACCAGCTCCTTGGGGCCAGGTCTCTCAGGGCCTCCTGTTGTTCTGCTTTCTTGCACTCCCCTAGAGTGTTTACAATGGAAGACAAAAGCACACTAGACAAACAGGAGGGCCCCCTTTCCCTTTGGGGGCTGTGAGAGTAGGAGGCATGGTTCATCTTCCATGAGACAAGACCTTTCTGCATTATCTCCAGAAGTAGTTATAAATGAACCCCAAAGGTTAAATGGCCTGCCCAAGAAGTTGTGTCTATAAAAAAAGGCAATGGGTGGACCAAAATCTTAGTATTCCTTGGGAAACCAGGCACCAGGGATTCCTGATGTCCACAAATTCAACAGCCCCAAGTGAATAAAACCTGAGGACAGGTTGAGCATTTCAAACTTTGAAATCTGAAATGTAAAACAAAACAAAAAAAACCAAACAAACAAAAAAACAAAACAAAACAAAACCCCGCAAAAGTGTATCAAGTTGACGTTATACATTAGAGTACCATAGATCTCAGAGTTTTAGGTTAAAGATACAATGAAAATATTCCACAGTCTAATGTCTGGAGCCAGGCATAGTGCCTATAGCCTTAGAACGGGGAATGCTGAGGTAGGAGGATTGTGAGTACAAGAGCAACCTAGGTTATGAGACAAGACTCTATCTCAAGGGGCTGGAGAGATGGCTCAGCGGTTAAGAGCACTGGCTGCTCTTCCAGAGGACCTGGGTTCAATCAATCCCCAACAAGCACTATGACAGCTCACTACAATCTAACTCCAGTTCTAGAGGATCCCATGCCCTCTTCTGGATTCCACAGGCACCAGGCACATACGCAGTGCAGATATACAGGTATACATGCTGGCAAAACATATACACACAAAAATAATAAACAATTTTTAGAATATAAATTTATGTCAAAACAATGGCCTCAAAAGACTTCACATTTAGGATCCTAGGCATTTCAGATATAAGGGATATCCAATCTGTATTTCTCTTACTGATTTAAAACTTCCTTTATTATTGTGTGCATTTGTGAGTATGAGTGGTTACCAGAGGGATCCGCTCTCTCTTTCCCCCCTGGGTGCCAAATAGCAAACTCCTGTCCTCTGGCTTCTGTAGAATGTGCCTTTGCCCACCGAGCCATCTCAGCAGCCCCTGTCTTCACTCATTTTCAAAGAGGCATGTATGGAGAGGTACTGCCGACCACGCCGGCTTGGGGCTGGGCACAGGTACCGCTGACCACGCCCACTTGGGTTTAAAAAGTTGGGAGGCACGAAGGCGGGCATTTTTTTCTCTCCTCCACCTGACTGAGCAGACAAGCAAGCATCCAGTGTAAACCTGATCACTGACTCGGTTGCATGAGTACTTTCTTTATAAACTATCTGTTATCAATCTAGTTCTGACTCCCCTTTGCTGTTTGGCTTTAGAGGCAAAAAGCCACTACTGCTAACATTCAACTTTTACAAGTGACCTTGCAGAAGGTCAACAATGTAACAACAGAATCCCAGCAGAGTGGTTAGGTACAGAGGGATGACTGACAGAAAGGGACCAGCCCCCTGTCTGGGACAGTCTTGTGTAGGGGGAACAAGTGAGAAGTGGGTTCAGGATGGAGGTATTGCTGGCCAGGTCTGTGGGGCCTTCCCTTCTGTCATTTCCTGTTCTTGGACAGCTGAGCCCTGGATCCAAAGTCAGGTTCCTAGGGAGGCCCTGAGTGTCCAAGGCAAGATAAAATTGCTCAAGACCCAAGATGTAACCTGGCTTTCATCCTATTTCTCTCCTTGGCCTTGGACTCTCTACTTCAGTAGAGATACTGGTGAAAGCCGTGGTTGTGTTTCTTTCCTGGGGATAAACTTCCTGTGATCATGGATACTCTCTCTCTCCCTTAAGTCAACAGGCAGCTGGATATAAAAGATATAATCTTAGCCGGCCGTGTTCAAAGCCAGCCTGGTCTACAAAGCAAGTTCCAGGATAGGCAGGGGCTACACAGAGAAACCCTGTCTCAAAAATCCATAAGCAAATAAATAAATGTGTGTTGTAATATTAGCAGAAATGACATCCAGACTCGGTGGATTTATCCCAAGGTTGGACTCATGTTTGTACACAATCATGTTTTATTTGAAAAGATTTCTACACTGTATTGAGAGCAACACAGGTGACCAAGACACCACAGCCCTGTCCCGGCAGGCACTGACTCCCATGTATAGCTTGGATTGGACTGTTATTTTTCTACAGTGAGGGGGTGGGGTGGAGGTGGGAAGGGAAAAGATAGAAAGAAGAAATGGGCATTCTTTCTAGCTCCAGTTTGGAATCTGACTGACGAGAAGGAAGATGATTCATTCACAGGATCCCTCTAATCTGCTTCTCTTAGCCAGGTGATGGGCGAGAGTCTGTAACCTGCTGGGCCAGCTGGGCCGGGTCAACACACAGGCACATTGGTCCACTTTTCTCCCCATCTTGTGAACTCTTCCTAGGCTAGAGGATGTAAGGATCATATCACAGCCTTCAGGCTAGTCCAGTGCAGACACAGTGCAGAAGAACTCAATACATCCACAGGAAGACAAGTGCCAAGCTGGGTGGAAAAGGCAGGGCGTCCCCGTGGACTCATTATTTGGACCTTTTCAATTGAACCCACAGAAAGATGGGGTATGTCATGAATATTGGAAGCATCTTTTATTTTAAAATCAGACCTTGGCATCCAGCCGCATAAAAGCAACTAAGATTACAAGAGATTATTTTTGCTTTCCCTGTTTTTCCTCAGAGGCAGAAGGCAGATGCTAGAAACTGGTTGGTTTATTCCCTACACCAGACCCCTACACAGGGGTCTCTTCTGCTTAAGGACCAAGTCTGTTCTTGGGGCTACAGTTGCTGAGCCTCTGGCAACCTGTGACATCCAACAGCCTTTTCAACATCTGGAATAAGATCTCCACAGTCCAGAAAGAAGCAGCTCATCCAACGTTTGAGTCTAGGGAGGTGAGGATGTGACTCCTTAACCTGGGGTTTCCATCACCCAAGGGAAGCGGAGGGGACAGACCTCTGGGCCATGAAGGCATCATGGCTTAGAGATGGTTTAGAGAATTGTAAACAGTGAAGTATCTTCCTGGAACTGAAGCCACAATGGATGCTTCTGAAATGTTCCAACTAGACTCCCATAAGGGGCAGCTCATCATGCCTGACTTTAAGTTTACATTTTCAACTCTATGACTCAAACACATTTAAACACAGACCCCACTACCCGAAATGTGTACATATCAACAGGTCAGCAACTGTAAAAAAGCCCGAGTCTCTTTGACGTAACACCGGAGCCAACTACTCCACAGATTCAATAAACATTTCCAGACTCCTTTGCCTCTTAACAGTAGTAGAGAATGGCCAGGATGAAGCCATGGTTACAGTCACTAAAGCCAACTGGTGATGCTGTCTTGGTTACAAGTCAGTTTAACATGGTTTTGTTCCATTTTCTATGCATGGTGTCTTTTGAATCATTTATTACAAAACATATATTAAAAATGTCTGTTTTCCAAAGGCATATGCTTTGAGGGGCCATGGCTTGTCATGTGTCTGTCCTTTGGCACCTCTGGCAAGTGGAGGAGTCGCCATGGCTGTGGGTGAGGGGGGCGTTCCATGGGTCATCTTCCTCCATAAGCAGAGGATGGGAAGCAGGGGATGTTGGAAGCACTCTTATTTTCAGGTATGTTGGGAGAACAGCTTGATCTGTTCAGCTCTTCAGGGCCTGTGAAAATAAAGAGAATTATTACTCCTTTTACTGTTGTTGGGACTAGTCACTCCCTGCCCTATAGTCATTGAGCCTATTGGCCTGTTCTGTGGTTTCTGTCCCAGAACCCTGTGTCCTTCTTCCCCAGACATTCCCTTCCACACCTAACCCTTACAAAGGCAGGGTCAGGAGTCCAGACATTTCCAAACACAATGCACTGACAGCTGCAGATCAGCCGCCTCCCAGTGGCAGATGGCTCATCCTCTCCCCTCCCCAACCAGCATCATCTTTCTCTGGTTTTTCCCTGGTGCTGAGTTGGAACAGTGCGAAGGAAGCTTAGCCAGGAGTAAGGCTCTTCCCTCCTAAAGTCAATGTCACTAAGATGCAATGACCTGATCTGTGTGGTGGTAGGGTGTGCAGGACAGGTGTGATGGAGTGATATAAATACAAAAGACACCCCCCCAACACACACACACACACACACACACACACACACACAGCCACACAGATGGAGTGATATAAATACAAAAGACACCCCCCCACCACACACACACACACACACACACACACACACACACACACACACACACTCCACAGGGGCCTGGCACTGTGACAGGTGCTTTCCCCCAGCACAAGGAGATTAGGAAACAAGTTAAAACTAGGTTTGGATTTTCTTTCAAGTTTGGGTTGAAAGTTAAGATGAGCGATCCAATTTGCTCAGACCTCAAAGGGAAGTCAGTTGGGGGCTCTGAGTGTGTTTTTAGAAACTCCTAAAGCCAACACTGATGTCTGTCCCTGGAAAACATCAGAGGCTGCACCTGTGGAGGTGATGAGTGCTGAAGACAACCTTGTGCAGAGGTTTCTAGAGTGGTAAGCAGGACTGCCTATGTTCATGTATCACATGGGAGAAGAGGTTACTTACGAGAACCTTCCAGAAATTTTCCTCATAACCACAATGATGATCACTCCAACAAAGCCGATGGCTAGTAGGACTCCAACTATGATTCCAACCAGAGTCACTACTGCCAAGCCATCTGAATGGAAGGGAAAAGAACCATGACTCCCAGGAATTAATAGATGCAAGCTATGGCACTACCCTGCTGCGCTCAGCACTGAGTGGTCTCTGCTCATCTCCCAAGTACAGCTGAACCCGAGTCAAGTGTGGAAGCCATTTTTCTCTTCTTGGTGCCAGGGAGTAAATCCCGGCCTTGAGTGTGCTAGTCAAGCACCAGGCCACCAAGCCCCAGCCCCTGCCCCGCTCTAATCCCATCTTGTGAATCAAGAGATTTCAGAGTCTCTGAATTTGTCACAGATAATACGCTGGCTTCACTGTTGATGGCCATGCTTCTTTATGGCTTGTCAATGACAAAAGCCCCAGAAAACAGGAACATATTTCAACATAATGAAGGCTCTGTATGACAAACCTAGAGCTAACATTATTTAAGTGGGAAAACCTCAAATTATTCCCATAACAATGAAGAACAAGGATGCCAGCTTATTCAATACAATAAATAACACTAAACTGTGGTGTGTTGTCATTCTCCACAGCGGCCATTAAGTAAATGCACTGTGTGTGTGTGTGTGTGTGTGTGTGTGTGTGAGAGAGAGAGAGAGAGAGAGAGAGAGAGAGAGAGAGAGAGAGAGGTGTCTTGTGTGTGTGTGTGAGAGAGAGCGAGAGAGAGAGAGAGAGAGAGAGAGGGAGAGGGAGAGGGAGAGGGAGAGGGATATGGAGAGGTGTCTGTGTTTGTGTGTGTGTGTGAGAGTGTTTTATGTGTGAGAGAGAAAGGTGTGTCTGTCTGTGTGTGAGAGAGAGTTGTATGTGTGTGAGAGAGACAGAGGAAGTTGTATGTGTGAGAGAGAGACAGAGAGAGAGAAAGGTGTGTCTGTGTCGTGTGAGAGAGGTGTATGTGTGAGAGAGAAAGGTGTGTCTGTCTGTGTGTGAGAGAGAGTTGTATGTGTGTGAGAGAGACAGAGGAAGTTGTATGGGATCTCTATGAGTTCAAAACCAGAAAGGTGTGTCTGTGTCTGTCTGTGTGAGAGAGAGACAAAGATGTGTGAGAGAGAGGTGGGGGCAGAGAGAGAGTGTGTGTATGGGTTTGTGTAGTACTGGGGTCCTGTACTATCAAAGTGCTTTACAACTGCATTATGCCTGCAGTCCTACTTGTTTTGGATATATGGAATTTCCTTTTCTCTCTTAATAATTATAAAATTGAAGGTGCTAGGCCTGCAAGTCAGTCCTATAATCCCAGCTATCTGTGAAGATGAGGCAGGGGGATTGCAAATTCAATGCCAGCCTGGGCAAAACTTAGTGATACTCTGTCTCAAAGTAAAAAAGTTAAAGTGGGTTGGGGATGTTACTTAGTGGCAGAGCATCAGTTTAGTATGTATAAGGT